GAGAGGGGGCAATTGCCCCCCCTAAAAAAATATTTTTGGCTGGGACTTAAGAAGAACGCAATGAAAACAAGCGTTTTTAAGCGAAAAAGTGCTTATTGCCCCCCCTGAAAATTATGGTCCGGCCCGCCAATGGATACATTCGATTAATTTGTGTATCAAAACTCTCATTGTATTAGAACAATATATATATTTTATAATTATCTATAAGATTTCATTCATTTTTTATTACGCTCAAAATATACAGAGATGTAGTCAGGCACAGTGGACAGGAAAAAAAAGGATCAGAAGTGATTTCTACAATAACTGGAGTTCATAACTTGATATTTTATGAAATTATGTTTCGTACATGATGCTGATTATCTGTGCTTATCAAGCTTCTTGTACTCGTACGATTTTTGAGGAATAGATTATTTATAGAATTTTTTTTGCAAAATTTCGTAGTCACTTTGAAGGTTGACTTTTGAATTGAAACTTCTGATAAATAATGTTCACAATCGGACTTATTCATTGTAAAAGTTTTAATTTTTATAGAACTCGCGTATATTTTTTAAAGATAATATAGTGAATTTAAGTTTAAATCGAAGTTTCTGCGCCTACTCCCTTGGCCATAGCAACCAAGTGATAGAAAACTAAAGACCACCATATATGTTTCTATAGTAATGAGAAAAGTGTGAAAGTGTTAACAGTGCCTACATCATTCTGGAACTTTGTAGATTCTAACTATCTAAATATTGAGGATTTTGGTTGTTAATGCAATGGAAGGATCTTATTACAGGTTTCACTCAGTAAGGTTATGGTATTATTGATTTAGCAGAGTCAGAATAAGACGAACGTAGGAAAGTATGAACTAGTTGAATTCTCAGTTGACACAAAACTCAACAGTATATGTCAAAATTCGTCAAGGAGAAAGGGGATGATGTGCTTGAAAGCTTACTGAATGATTAATTCAATGTGTATAGCAGGTTAATATGTTAGTTGAACCGATGAGAACATTGATATTTGCCCGTTCCTATGCCATGCGCCGTATATATTACCATTAGGAGAAAGGAAATCATGATAGTAACTCTGGATAAAAATATTTCCGAAATGATAAAATTTCAGAGTGTGCATATCAACTATAAAAAATGTTATCATTTTAACTTATTTATTTATTTAGCCTTTTCTTAAATAAATTATTTTAAAACGTACCACTATATACCATAAATTTATAACGCTTAACGTGAACTGAAATCAAACAACAATACTATGAATTGATAACTGAAAAACACCTTATTTACATTTTTTTAAAGTTGATCGTCAGATATTGATCTAAATGATGGAAAAGGAAGAGAAAGGATAGATCTGCCTTTCAGTATGCAATGCTATTCAGAAGCAGTTTTAAAAATCCTATATCTTTCTTACAGTTATTATTAGCGTTAATTCTGGCCAAAAATCGGCCTGACTCAAACAGTTTTCGCTGGATCGATTGAATTCTTCATACACATTCACTAGCCACATAGTAGCCATGAGAATTGCTGTACGCCACAAATTTATCATGATCCTGTCAGACGAGTGTTTCAAGACAATCTACTACTCGTAACTTGCTAAATGTCACTCCATAGACGGGTAGTGCTGATGCTCGAACATGGTATATTACAGATATGTGTCAAACAACATAATCACACAACCATAGCATTTTTTGAAAGGTTAATTAAAGCCATTATACAAAAAACAAGTCGAATTTTAAAATTTCACTAAGAGCCTGTTTACCCTTTAAAAAAATCAATTTCCTCGTCAGAAAAATTAAAATGAATATGAATTTATGAGAACATAGCTTGAGGTCTGATCTTTCATTAATGGCATGATCTTTTATTTAACATCTCCTTTCTTGGATGTGGCTGTGACCATGAATTTCTTCTCCCGACCCACAAACATACCCACGCTACCCTTACACCATCAATCGACGATCTTGTTAAAGGATGATCAATAAGTCTCATAAAAGTATATTAACCGATATTTTCTTTGTCTATCGTCGTGTTTAATCCAGACTTCCTCTTCGTCGGAGGAGAGGATTTAAAACTTCGGTAGCGTAAGACACTGGTCGATTGTATTGTAGTGTTATATTTTCTAGGGATTTTTCGAATTAAGACGAATTAACAAATATGCTCTATTTCCTCTTCGATTTAATAAATTTAATTACCATGATGTGTGCGTCTGATGCATTTATTTCAATGATCATTTGACTATTATATATTACAATGAATTCAAAAATGAGCAAAGTCTAAAAAACAAATCTTGAAATTCTATGATGCCTAATTTATCGATTGATCAATCATCAAGTTAAAAATAATTCGAAAATATTTTCCAGGAGAACGGCTCAGATCTCATACAGATTTTCTACTGAATGAAGAAACGACAGGAAACACGTACATTTATTATGGTCTTCCATATTAATTTTTCAATGTTTGGTATTATAAACTTGATTATTCCATTAGTGACACGATAGATGATTCTGCGACAGATGACCCTCAGACATTAGAGCTACCGACACTTGAGTCTGACAAAAACAAGTGATTAAAAAATACAAGAAAATAATTGTACTTTAGTAAATTCAAAGTCACATCAGAAATTGAACAGAGCTCTTGTTTGTTTCAACTACAAGTCTTCTGTTATCAAATAAACAAACGAAATTAATTGTTGTAATTGCTTATGGAAAAGTTCATATTTAACACGTTTCTTTACTTTCACGAGTTCAGCTTGTAATTGTTCAGCACTGATCAAGCTCGCATGCTGTTGCACTTTCAAATATTTGATAGATTTAAAAATTGATGGGCTTTCTTGTGCTGAATTCTGACCACAGATGAATGAGCTGTTGTATCAAAGAAAATACATAAGAAATTGACAGTATTCTAAAAGGTCGATACCAATCTTCAGAAAAGTGTGGATCAAGAGAAGATGAACACTCACATCTACATCCAAAACTAAAGAAACCTGTTAAATATGAACTTTTTGATGAGCAATTACAACAACTAATTTCGTTTTCTCGCATGATAACAAGAGACTTGTACTTGAAACGAGCAAAAACTCTGTTCAACTTTTGATTTGAATTCGAATTTATTCAAATTGTTTTCTTATATTCTTTAATCTCTTGTTTATGTCAGACTCAACTGTCAGCAGGCTCGTCTTTTGGTAGCTCATCTGTCAATGTATCTATTACATTATATTCTTAAAAATGATTTAGCATCCATTTCAAAATGAAAATTAGTTTTGGTTTTCTAAGTATGTGTATTAAATTTGGTAAGTTTTTTCACCTTTTCTGAACGATATATTCATGAGATATATGAATTGTCTTTCGGTCTTCAACATTGGTTATAGAAATAATAATTAACAAAATTACAATTTAGGATGTTATATACTTCCTATGAACACCATTTTATTACAAGAGTAAAATAATAGGTTAGAAAAAAAGTGTTTGATAAAACTCTATGAAAACAATGAAAATGAAATTTTCAAACCAATTAGCTTTCTAAAATGCAATAATATAACGTTCTAAATGAATTTCATATTAAACTTATTTTTAAAAATTACTTTTCTTGCGGGTAAGAAGTGACCTAATTCCTTCTGCTTCACACAAATAGAAGGCCATTCTATATTAGAATGCCACCCACTAGAAAAAGTTTACAAAGTATTATAGAAGGTCACAATTTTTTTCTCTGGGGAGAGAGAGGATTCATTCATTTACACAGATAAAATATCCTGAAGGAGCTTATTCTTAAGAATATAAGTAGCTTCTGGTATGAAATTAATTCCAATTAAAGCTAAAGGTAGAATGAATTAAAAACTCATTTTCTCTTGCAAAGTAGTATATTTTTAATTATTTTTCTGCTTTTACTATGATTCCTTCGAAAAATAACGGTTACTTAACATTGAAAATCTTTCATTATTTCTTATTACACTATCATTTAGAAAAAATTTGTTCAAAGTTTTTTCTTTTATATAAATATTATTAATAAATCATTGTTGATTTTTTGAAATTTTCAAGCAGTTCAGACTTATAGATGAATAAATAATAATTTAAAACAATAAAATGAAGAATTTTAGTGAACAAGTATCATTATAATACAAATATCGGACGCTAACTTTAGAAAGAATTTCTGTAATTCTAAATGACTGTAGTCTAGTTTTTGTTATTTTCATTCATATTTGATACAAACATCACTTACATAAAGTGTCAGACTTTATCTTTTTTAAAACTATTATCAATAATGCTGTTTTATAGATACTTAGTACGATTGTGTAGGATTGCTGTTAATCGTATTCAATTACCTTTCTAACTAGAATCCTAGCCTTAACAATAATTTACAAATGCAAATCTTCATATTTTTGTTGCTATTCTTCATTAATCTTTCTTTAGTACTTGTTCTTATAGATATTTTTAGATTATTCTTCATATTTTTTTATTTTAGTGCGGCCCTATCGCCGCCTCTAGTGCGTTCTTTTTATTCTTTATTTACTCATTGACATTCATTTTTAAGATATTTAATTTAATTTTACTGCCAAAGGTTAAAACTGATACTTTCACTTTTATTCTTAGTCGAATATCCAAATAGAAGACACTATTATTAGTTAATAGGTACAGAATTGCTACAAAATAAAATGATGTCCTATTTTTTTAAGTGAAACACAAAATCTGTTTTATTTCTGATGTTGCATCATTGATGTAAAAATTGGGAAATATGTTGTTTTCATTTCACTTTTTAATAATTGCTTTATGATATATATCTAATCTTATTACTATTTTTAAATTAAGCATTTAAGTATTCTTCCATATTATACAAGCTTTGACGTCTTTACCTTTAGGGAAAATTCTTTATATTGTTGATAAACTTATTAGAAGCATCTTCAATAACATATATAATGAAAATAATATTTTATATTATATGTTAATCGTAAAAAATTCAACGTGCTTAAAAGACTAACATTCTATCAGTAGATCATTAATTGTTTCAATTTGAAAAATCATGTCAACTGCTACTATTTCAATCTTTACAATTCTTTCACATCAAGTTACTATTTATTTGGGTTTATTTATTCTAATAACTGGTTGTTTTGGTGGACTTTTAAATATTATCATATTTTTAAGTCTTCAAACATTTCGACAAAATTCATGTGCATTTTATTTAACAGCTATGTCATTTGCTAATATTGCTCATTTAACTAATAGTTTACTTAGTCATATTATAATTTATGGTTATGGAATTGATTGGCCAGCAAAATCAATAATTTATTGTAAAATACGATTTTTTTCTATTCAATTATTTTTATTAACTTCATTAACATGTATGTGTTTCGCAACACTTGACCAATTTTTAGCAACTTGTTTTAATCCATTTTGGCATCGATGGAATAATATTAAAGTAGCTCGATATGCTGTAATAGGAACTATTTTAGTTTGGCTTCTTCATGGAATTCCATCTCTACTTTATTTTAATGTCACTGTATCATCATCCAATACGAATCTATCTTTTTGTTTAATGACAAATAGAGTCTTTCAACAATATTTCACATATGGTTATGCTTTTATCCTTATGGGTATTTTACCTCTTGTCATAATGGTCTTATTTGGTTCCTTAGCGTATTATAATGTACGAAACTTGGCTTATCAAACTGTTCCATTAGTTCGACGTGAATTAGATAAACAATTAACAAAAATGGTACTTGTTCAAGTTATTTTCAATATCTTTGTATTAATACCATTCGTGATTGCTGCTCTTGTAGCTTTTAATTTACCAGCTAATGATCGAATAAGACCATTATGACAAGAGGTAAAATACCCATAAGGATAAAAGCATAACCATATGTGCAATATTGTTGAAAGACTCGATTTGTCATTAAACAAAAAGATAGATTCGTATTGGATGATGATACAGTGACATTAAAATNCGCTACCTGTCTTACTCCTATTGTTATCAGTGGCGAAACCAGCATTTTGGGTCAGGGCTGAGTCTCTTGATCCATCTGATTCTGCCACTGATTTTTATTAACTGAAACAGATAAGACAATAGATTGTTTTTTCTTTTCTCTTATATGTATGACCAATCAAGTGAGGATGTCATCAAGAGGGAAACCATGTACTCTCGTACTCCTAGAGTACATGGAGTAGTACAAAAGTACGCTGATTGTAATGTAGAAGATATTTAATTATTATTTAAAAAGAGCCAAGTAAACTTCAAACTTTTTAAAAAGATTACAGAACGACTCGAAAGGAAAGTATATAGAATTGATAGTGTTTCAATGATATTTTCAGCAGGCAAGACATTACGTCGTTTTGCTTATCTTTATTAGTATCCAACGTATATACGAATGGCAAGAAGAAAAATCACCTGGTGAATGTATATCGTCATTTCCATCTCGTGTATCGACAACAGAGAACATATTTTTATTAGTGTTTCACCTCGGAATGTGCTGCTCCAGTTTACCAATCACCGACGCTACCAACAGTGAGCTCACTGTAGCAGTGACTACACCGACATCGATGCACACTGGGACAGCGATGTTTAGCAGTATAATAAGCATACCCTGAGCAGTAAACGTCGATGTTCCAATGCTATCAGTATGTTGTATCAGAATCACGCAAGTATACAACCAAAAGAATCCAGACACGCTACCACAGCCAAATATCCACAGTCACACCCTAGTTTCTCAAATCTGCGTTGCCGAAAAACGAGTTGTTGCTGATGATGTGAAAGATAAGTCAGAGTTTAGACGAGAAGAACAATTTGCTGATTTTCTTTTTTGTAAGACACTTCTTACCAGTTGTTCGCTTCTCAGTTCGATTGTGCAGCCCTTGAATTCAAGAATTGAAAGAATAAATGGTCACTGCAGACACTGTAAGACTTCTCCCTTATAAAGGGCTGCTCCATCATCTTTGTTACACTATTGTTTCGTTGTTTACTATGAGTGCACCTTTTTCTTATCACTCTAAAACTTCATACCCTTCTCCTTAAATAATGGTGACAAATTGACAATGTGTGACAGAGCAAAAGCATTATTCAATCTTGACGAAAGAAAAATAATGATAACTAGCTACAGGGTAGATGTACATGTGGTTGTAGAAGAGGGAAAAACAGCCGAGACTTCAGTCTTGATGTCTTTTAGCTATAGATTTTAATATAATATCTGGTGCAAAAGCCATGGGGCACATGTCTACTTCTATTTTTCTTCAATAGAAGAGTGCTGCAAGAAAATGTTTTTTACCAGAAGATAGAACATTTTCCTCTTTCGATTCATGTATAAGTTATTTTAATCTCATGCCCATAAATCAAACGGTGCAAAAACAATGAGAAGTATCTTCAAAAAGGAATCCACACAGTTCCTATAAATTACAGCGCTACATATGGATCCTTAAAGCTCTTCAATAAACATGTTCTCAAAGTAATATTTTTCAACCAGTTGATAAGAAGCTTTTTCCTTTTTTGAACAGAACGACATAGCTCTTCGTTAGTCACACTGCTTATAGAGCGAAGAAAAATTGACTTTTCAGATTAATGATTTGGGACTCCATAAATAATCGGATTCCGTGGCATTAGACTGTAAAGGTGTTGGCAAATTGAGGTATCGGATAGGAAAATACATAAAACTGATGGAACCTGGAATATTTCAGATTTTTGTCATTGATTTTCGACTGTTTCTTACCGGAAACTGTGAGAAATTGTTCTAAAGTCATGGGAAACATCTGAAAATATTCCTGTGCAGAACATAGCTTTCAAGTTCAATTGATTTTCAGAGACTTCCTATCGGAATAATCTCCTACGTTTCTACCTAGGTTCTTTTTCATCGGATGATGTATAATACTGAACTTTTAAATTTCTATTTTAGAAATAAGAATTGAGAATCGATGCAAAATACTCGTACATCAACATAAATTTGTTTTGAAAGTTCAGATTTATTTTCTTCATTTTCATCATTCGATGAAGTACTTTTCTGATGATTTATTCTTTGATTGAGTTCTGCACTAGAAGAATTCGATTGAGAACATTGACGACCAACTTTTGAGTTTTTCGTAATGTTGTATGGAAACTGATGATCATTGAACGGCGAATTTATTGTAGGCGATAGTCGTGATGAACTACTTGCTGTAGATGATGTTCTTCCATTTTGTGAAAATGGATCTATAAATATAGACATATAGGATGTTTCAAAATGAGTGGTGTCAGTGTATCCAGCTCGAAGAATACACCAGTGAGGCATACTTACTTATGTGCGCATATCGATGATATTAAGACACTTGACTTTTCGATGAACCTTTGTTCATCGTTACATAGATTGGCTTTAAACCAAGTTCTTTTCCATTCATACCATCTATAGCTTCTTTGGCTTCGTCAGCTGTATTAAAGCATGCAAATCCATAACCTTGTGATCGACCATATTTTATCATAACCTGTAATAAAAACGGATCAGCTCTTTTCTAGTTATATTGTGCTTTTTATCCTAGCACTTTTGATTTTACCATTTTGTGGCAAACGCTTCATTTAATTTTCGATCATCAATACTTTCATCCAGCTTACTAATATATAAATTTCGATCTTCACATAATTTAATATAGACTTCTCGTTGTTCTTTTTGGCGGTCTTCTTTGTTTTGAAAAAAAAAACAAACACATAATTTTGTTCCATTATCTAATAATAAACCGTTGAGATTTGCAACAGCCTATCATGAATAAAGTTTAACCTCTCAGAATATTCAATAAAAGAAAAAAGATTATTTACATTTTCTTCCATAGATGAATTTAAAAATTTGACAAAGTCAAATTCCTTCGGACATTCATATTGATTCATCGGAATCTTAAGTTAAATTAAGAAAGCAAAACAAAATAATATACCTCCGTCTCTTTTTGTTCACTTACTTTACAAATGATAATCGTACCGTATTTAGCGAAGAGTTTACATAATTTTCCTTCGTTCATTTTGCTACCGAAGTTTTTAACATATAAATTCATTTTTCTTCGAAGTTGTCTATATCTAAATGTAGTTTCGTATTTTCTATCTGAATCATATTCACTATCACTGCTTAACATGGCATCCCACACAATAATCAAATCAGCTAAAAGAAACAATAAATATAAATAATTATAATGCAAGTTAACAAAGACAAAGCACTGGTAATCTCATATCATGACGCAACTGCAGTAGCTAATGTACTTATGAAATTAACAAAAATTATTATGTTACTATATGATCTGAGCCTATGTGACTGCAACGCAATTCGAGGCTAGCTCTCATTTTTCGGTGAGAGAAAAACTTGCTAATTAGTGTAAAACTTATCAAGCCTTTTTCTCTCAAAAGAATATGCACTTCTTTCACACATAAATCAAAACTTTTTCGTTGCTCAGTTGTTTGCATTTCTTTTTACTAAAATATTTTTTGAATGATTCAATCAAATATAAAAATATTGACTTTGTTATGTTGTTCATTTTTCTTTTTTATCGACAGAAAGTTTCATTGTGTTGTTCACCAAAACACAATACTTTTATTGAGTCAATAGAAACATCTCAAAAAGGTTCCAATCAAGACAACTGCTTCTTTTCTTTTATCCATCATAGAACAACTATTTAGAAGAATACAATTTTTTTTACAATGAAACAGGAATAGTCGAAATTACAATATACTATCGTTGATTGTAATAAAAAAAACTCATAAAGACAATAGAAGTAATTTATTCATTCAAATAGTGCATATAAAAACAAACACAAGAAAAGCCATATATTGTTCGATGATTTACCATCTATCTCATTCAAGTTAAGTGTATGTGAATTGAATTTCTTCGTTCTGTATACAATCTATCATATCGAATGAAGAACTTCTTTCTTTTGCTCTCACATGTCGATTATTACATACTCAAAATAATTTTTTCTTCTTTCGTCCTCTGATTTGCAATAGAACATTTTAATTGGAGAAATAAAAAATGCGTGTATTTGAAGCAGTTTTTTAAAACATGTGTTTGGCGTGGGTGTGCATCCTGCCTTTACTAGTACCCTTACCAGCTTCACTCAGATTCTCAAGATATTTTCCAATAATTATGTAAATCAATTAAGTATCTCTTTTGGTAGTGAGCCGTTACAAGTATTATAAAAAAAAACAGATTCATTCGTGGTTCTACATACGACTCGAGAATTCAATAACAACTAGAAAATACTGGTGCCTCTTCGTTAATAGTTTAAAAAAAGTCTTCTGTGTATGTTGATATAATCTATCACAAAGCATTTAAGAAACTGCATCGATGGCTACAGAAAATAAGAACATTCTTTCCAATAGTTGTCTTAGTTCAATGAGTGTCCTTGAATTGAACGTCGATCAATTCAATATAGATCCGAAATATATGCGCAAAAATTAATCACTGGTCTTATCATATAAATGATCTTCTAACTATATATATATATACTGATGATTAGTATTAGTATGTTTGAGATAAACATGAAACTATTACAGAAAACAATAGAAACATTTGCGCAGGAAAATTGATTTAGTTGAGTTGCGATTATACTCCTTTTCTTAGTTTTGACACTGTTTTATTAATAGAATTTATTCGTTCACATTTCATTGATTTCATCTGGTATTTTGGCTCGCTTGCTAGCATGGGGTACAGTTTCTGTCATAAATTCATACATGATATTTCCATCTTTGTACTTTGACATTGTATTTGCGAAACCGACTAGTCACATTGCCCATGGTCATGTTTTATTTCTGCCATTCGAATCAGTTTTTAGAATGCTAGTGTATTGTTTAGTAACGGTTTTTGATCAACTAGCACCTAGCGCTGCTTCATACCGTCATTCCAGTTGCTGAATATTGATCGAAAACTTTCGAAGTAATTATATAACCAGATAGTTGATCATCAAACTGATCTTGGTTACCTGTCCGAAAATATTTGATAACTTATTGTTAGAATGAACAAAATGAGAATCTTTGAAGGGATCGCTGCAAATGTTGCAGATCGAGTTCAGGTCGATGGATTTTCTCTCTACATATTCATACTTTTTCTCACTTTACGTTCATCTTACGAGAATTATTATCTAGAAAAGATGTAATTATCACACAAAAATTTTTCATAGAATAAGAAATATTCTATTTTAACTTATTCTCTCAATGAACTTCCAAAAAACGCTTTTGGTTCATTTGTCTCAAAAAGAAAACATCAGCAGATCGGCACAAATCGCTTTTACAATTTTTTCCCAAAAACCGTTCATTGTAGAGCTCACATGCAGTCGTCAAAGAAAATATTCGTAACAAAGGATGCTTTTATTCTCTTTCCACTAGTGAATAATTCTGATCTATACTCTATTCTTTATTAGAACCAGCAATGGAGAGTGTGAATGCGGGCAAAAATGTATAGCAAACTCTTTTTGTGATCAATGAATTAGTCATAATTTTATGATAATCGTTTATTAAATTCATGATATCAAAGCAAATGTATATACTATACACAATAGTAAAATACAATATTTTTATTTTAAGAATAGTTTGTGTCATAAACAATAAATTCACATTCAACTTTTGATGGTAGAAAAATAGTTCCTTTGAAATAGTTGACAACTTCATCATTCATTTGAAACGTTTCTTTTCAAGATACATTAAATAAACGCAAAGTAATCATATAATGATATTTCTTATGATCGATTCGTTTAAGCATATAAGATGATAGATAAAACTTAAATTCAAAATTCGATTCCCATCTCTTCTGAATGAGTTTGAACAATTTTTCATCAATTTCTGATTTTAATACAACTTGATAATGAAATTCAATATAATGTTTTTTTCATTCCAGAATAATTGTTTATCAATATCAGTTTCTGGTGTATCACCATTTGACAGTACTTTACCCTTGAATTTGTTGAACAATTGATGGATCTTTACTATGACAATAGGAGAATGCTATTAATTGTTGAACTTTCTTCTTCTTTTGATCAGTGTATAACTGAACGAATGAGATTTTATATTTTGTATTTTGACATGTTTTTCTCAATTTTTCAATCACTTGTTCAGAAATAGATTTATAGTAAATTGTTCTCATATTAAAATATATTTAAACATACTGAGAAAGTGGATGAGTCTATTTAGAAAGAAACTAACAATATAAGAATGCACAACAGATGGCTAGTGTATAAAAGGCATAGATAATGAGGAATAGCAAAGAAAAGTGAGTCGAAGAGGCAGAAATATTATTCCATCAAGAATATGTACAATTATTAGGACAAAAATTTTTGATTTTAAACAATTCAATTTCAATTATAGATAGTTTTCTAGCAAACTGATTGATGACCGACATAATAATAAAACTTTCATGGTAAAAAATGTAAATAATCAGTTAAATTCATTCGAACAGCTGAATAATAAACTGATAATTGTCCTCTATATGAAAAATAATTCACTTCATTATGCCATCCACACAAGTAACGAAAAATACATGGATGATTATTTCTGTATAAAAATATTACAATATCATACATTTTTAATTTAAGTGCATTTGAACGAGAATAAAATCCATCACGTTGATATTCTTTTTCTTGAAGTTTAATGTCCATTATTGAATTATTTAATCTTTGAGATAATGATTTTTCTCTTACATATATACGATCAATGGTAGGATTCACTTCAGACTCGGAAGTTCTTTCTGCATCTGAATGAGGGACACCAATCACTGGAGCTCTTACTTCTTTCAATAGTTCACTAATACGATTAATTTGTCCTTTACCATCAAGCCAAATAATCCATTTTGCTAGTGGAAACATTCGTTGTCCAACAATCTTTAATGTTTCTGTTGATTTTGCAGCAACACTAAAGGGTGTAGCATCAGCACCTAAATCAACTAAATCCCATCGAAAATTAGAATTTATTGAATAAATTTTTTTATAAGCAGTAATTGTTTTTGTATCAAGCAAAGCAACTAAACAAAATGAAGATAGAATATCACCATGTACTTGAGGTAGAGGATCATAGCAATTTGTAATACATGTGAATATTATAATTTCACATGTATGATTTCGACCATATCGATTTCTAACTTTATCAAAAATAGATGGAATAGCAAAACTACATTTCAATGGTTTTAGATTAGATTTTTGATATAGTTGTTCTTGATCTTGAAATGAATATAAATCACCAAAATCACAATCAAATGGCTTTAATAAACATCGACTTGTATTGTCAGTTGAAGTACGATTAGTTATTGTTTCAGATTGCATTTGAGCAAATATACCTTCCTTTTAACATTGACGACTATCAGATAAATATTGTATAAATGAACGATCACCATGTAAATAATAAAAATCATTAGAATATGTAAAATTTTTTGAACGATATGGTATTGATATGTCTAGAATACTTTCACCTACATTTGATTGATCCCACCAAGTTGAATCTTCAATAAATTGATGAGAATCATATTGAATTATATTTTTAATTTTTAATGATGAAATATTCAATCCTAACAATGAAATAAAATCGGTCAAGACTTTTTCACAATCGACTAAATTTGTTTTAATTAAATCTTCTGAATGGATAACTATCCATTTAATAGATCCAACAGATGTGAAATAACTTGAAAAACGTTTTACAGTATAAATAGCTTTCTTCATCAATTTTTTGAAAGAATTATTAAAACTTAAAGTAATATTGAAATTCGATTTCATTAAATCTAATTGCTGAAATACAAGTGTTGCTTTAATTGATTTTCTTTTAAAATATATTCGATTAATACGTCCTGAACTAACTTTTGCTATTTGATTAAACTTTTCTGAACATTGTGATTTATAAGCTAAATTAGTTGATAGAGACATAATATAAACTTGAATAAACATGTCGTTTGTTGACTTTGAAGAAAAATAATTTTCTTCAATAATATGACAATTATTATTTAAACGAGTAATTTTAATATTTCCTAATTTTCGTATTAGTATCCATTGAATATATTTCATTATTCCAGTACCACTATAAGTCCATACAAAACTACTTATGTGTGCATAATTTGAACATTCATATATTGTAGGTACTTGATGATTGGCAGAAGCCCATTTAAAACAATGAGAATTAGATGCTTTTTGACTCATAGGCAATGATTCACGATGAAAATCGAAATAAATACCCACAAATAAACAGATTATTAGTAATACTAAACCAAAACCTACATGATGAGTTGAAACCGTTGAAGACAGCACCTAAAATCATAGAAGTTTATTTTAGTTATAGATATGTAGGATCAAGCAATGTCTTTCTCTATCTGTGATTGGCTACAAAAAAGAAGTTAACTATAATGCGAGAAATCTTTCCACAGGTTATTTTCATTTGTTGCCTAGCGATAGAACGAATTCAGCTGTGATCCACCGTTTACACTCATATTATAAACAAACGAAGGTTTCAGCAAGGCTAAGATAGGTCTAATGGTTCTTGAAATATCCTGAAAATTTCAGTCAAAATGAGTGTCCATTTATCGAGCTGTTGAATTTTCAATAAAGTGTCGCTTGCCTATAGATTTGTCATGAAAAACAAATTTACCAGTAGTGTTAAACCAGAAAGTTTAATTCAATTATTGAAGCACTTTCCAGATATGTAACTATTCACTAGTTGAATAATTCAAGTAAAGATATTCAACTATTCAAGTATTCTATGATGAGAGCCTAGGCAAAGAGAAGACCAACGTCCCATGCCTTGTGGCACACATCATACCCTCGTTTGAATAGATCATGATACATTAACTGAATTCCATACTCATGGCACGATATGTCTGTTTGAAAATTTAAAAGAATGATCATTTTACCATGATGTTCACATGGCGCATAGTACTCTGAACTGAAGCTACAACTTTTAGCAACTGCACTCAATGAAATCATTCACTTTGGCATACGTTAGCACGATCAACATCGTCGTTGTAGAATCCATTGTTGTTGTTGAGTTGAATGTTACGAAAGATCGGCATTTGTTTTTCAATAGTTCACATAAATGGTGTTGATGAAATGTTATGTTTCGCTAGTAAAGCTTCGCAGTTAAAGAACAGAAGTGGAAACCGCATGGAGAGTACTGCGAACAATTTTCTTACTTTTTTTTCTGTTCTGTGAGTCTCCATCTCTTCTGATCAGTGTCGATTCTCTCTCTCTTTGTTCAAGAGATTTCTTTCTAATCGATGTTACCTTTCTTGTCCGCTAGATTCTCCCAGGCTATGAACAGTAGTCGAATTGTAATGTAACACATCGATGTGTTTCATGATCAAACGATTTTTCGTGAAATACAAGTGCTTGTTCTCTTTGATCGATTCATGCGATAGAATATGGAGAAAAACATTCTATCCTTGACTAAAATTTCATGTGTATCAGAGTCTTTTTAACAAACAAAACGAAGAATGCCAATGGCAAGATATCATCGATCAGTCAGTTGACTACTTCATTGAACTATTGAGTAACTGACCCACGATAGAAACTCAACGAGTTCTTTTGCTTCCCTAAGTGAGTCAAAGAAGCATAAGGACAAATGTAATTGATTAAAACAGAAGAAAAAAAAAGACGAGTGATTGAATGCTGATGTTGACATTAGAAAGACTTCTGTACAAGCGCATGCATTGTGTTAAGCAGTTTCTTCGTTTTTCTTATGAGCGTTGTCAGTCAGCAACGTAGTGTATAAAGAAAATACTCAAGTATTTCTTGTACTACGAAATATGTTTCGAAGACAAAAGCGATGGAAAGATACATTGCTGTATTGGCAGTTTCATTGTCTAAATGAGCAGGGTACTGGTTAGTAATGAATGACAGAGAAAAATTCATGCTTATATTGTGCATATGCAAACATATGGGTATGAATGTGAATGTGGGTCTCTCATTAACAACCATATCCACACTATCTGTGATACCGGCATTGTACCAGTGAGGGTGTACAATAAAATTTCAGATTACAAAGTCACATTTTTCATGCACCATATTCAAACTCGAATATATATTTGACTCAAAATTAGAGACTCTCTACTTTATCGATGAAATTATTGATGCTGTGAATCGAAGCAATAGGAAATATGCCCTTCTTTTTTTAACCATTTCTGATTCTCAGAGAGAATCTTGAGAGGAATGTCAACTTTTTTCAGGTCACATTACTATCTCATCTAACTTTGTTTGATATATTTTAACTGTCAAATGTAAAGTTAATGAAAATCGAAATTTTGAATTTAAAACCAAAAATGAAAACAGATGATATTATTATCAATTTTTGTGACAAAATTCTCAGTCGATCTAACAATACCAGAAGAGGTCATAATATGATCCAAAGAGAGCAGATAATTCCATTCTAGTATTTTCATTTAATGCAGAAATAGACTCTTGTACCGAATTCTGAAATTTGATTCTAAAACCAACAATTATTTGAACAATACAATCTCAAGTTGATATAGATTGTTCAGCATTATCAGACAGTCAAGAAATTGCCCGATGCTATCATTTACAAATGCATACAATGCAAATGATATTTATATAGAATTGGTGTGCGTATGTGAAAGGATTAGCGTAATAAGAAGAGCGATGTGTGCGCACATCCAAAACAACATCCAATGATTAATTTCGGATGCTGTATTAGTGAAAATACGAAAAAAAAAGTTCCATCCAAAATAATTTTTCAAATGTTCTAAAGATTTTATTACTATTCTCGAACAACAATGCGTACACTATTTAAGAGTCCATATACAAAAAGCTTATAAAATCTTAACTTTAACCCATCGTTTTGAAATCATCTAAAATACTATGTTAGTCGAATTTAAATGAGTATCTGTTTTCATAACTAATTATCTTCGTTTATTCATCACCAGTATATTCTGCTCGTGCCATTTCACAGAAAACAATATTTCTGGTGTACAAATATAATATCAAGTTAAATTTGTATCAACATCTATCATAAGCATAGTGCTTTCATAGTTAAATGGACGACTACTGGAGATTTATTGTACTTGCCCGTCGTATGCATGCAATTCTTTAACGTTTTTAATTAGTAATGCTTCACTTTCATATGTTTACACATCATGTCAACACAATCTTAAACGAATCATTAGAAACAACAAACGTGACACATTTTATTTTTTTAGTTTAAATCTCTTTCTTATCAATTTTTATCTTTATCTGAGTCAACCTTGGCATTTAAGTGAAGTTTCTTGTTCATTTTTCTTATAAAGAGCGCACGATAAATTTGGCAAGTATTTGATACCTTGTTCTCTTCTAAAATCAATATTTGTTAGAGAACAATAACCGATGACAAACAGGTTTCGTACAACAACCATAATACTACTCTGTACTATTGCAACGTATGCAACATCAGACAATTACACGCCTTTGACAACATTTCCAGTAGTTAAATCAAACTGGTTCAATTGCTCTGTTCTTTCCAACGGAGTAGGTTTGTGTCAAACATATTATTACGTTGTTTAATGGAATACGCCATCTTATATTTAGACTACAACAGTGAATAATGTCTATGCTCAATGCATGTTTGTAAATGTTCCAATCAATTGAAATTATATCTCAAATTTAACAACATGCACGGAAACAATTTCAATATTCGTCAAACGATATTTTATACAAGGAACTGAAAATACATCTCATCACTTATGGCGAATACCAGACAATTTGTCTTTTCGTCTTTGTTTATAGTTAAACTTTCTATGTTGTTCTACAGGTGGTGGTGGTATACCAATATCTAGTTTGAAGCAAGAAGCCGTTCTTGTTGTTAGTACACTGAAGGGTTTAGCGTCTATATATGCAACTGACAAACGCGGTGTTGGCAACAGTAGTTTATTAGAATGTCCAACCTCAATTGTTTTAAATTTTTTGGCCTGTTTACCATTTATTCAGCAACATCAATATCGGGGTGTGGGTATGTGGGTGTGGGTATGTGGGTGTGGGTGTGTGGGTGTGGGCGTGTGGGAGTTGGTATGGGTGTGCGTGTGTCGGTATGAAGAGTGGAATGACTGTTTAAGTGTGGGTATNTCTCGGAAAATATTGTGATTTGTAATGTTTAAAGAAAGCTACCAAATGAAATACTTGCAGCAATTCGCTAAAATAATGCTCAAAGACTTCGGTTACTTAAAAATGTCACAATATGTTTGTATTCTGCCCAAATCATAGGCAATATAATCTTCATTACCCAAATAAAGTACTTAGTTTGACAGATAAATATGACATGAATATACACAAGCAATAGTGGGCTATTGAATTCCTTTTGAATCCTTCTTTATCTCTCCGCTGACTGTTGCTAATATAGAACACACATAGTTGGTTGATTTGATCGTTCTCGTGAATCACTTTTCATTTATGCTCTGAAGGATAATTGTTTGTAGAATGTTCTTTTCGTATACTTTGGGTCTCATGGTGGGTATGGGCATGGGTAAAAAAAGACCCAACCGCGATTCGAATTGCATACACGCAGCCGCACCCCACTACTGAATAGAGAAAGTACTTGCAAGGATAAGATTTTTTATGGTGGTCAATGAGATCAATTTTAGCACGAGCTGAAAGGTTGCTGAAATCTTGGACTGACCGAAAGTTCGAACTCAACATTTCTTGGGCCGAAATGTCGATGTGCATTGGATTCAGCTATTGTTGACAATATCTCATAGATGAAATCAATTTTCATGTACGCCTTCGGTTTGTATGTTTCCCTATCTTACTCGCTCCTCGATTACATTGCGAGAGACTCTCTATGCACGAATTCTGAAGGTTGTTCTACGAACTTGTGAAGCGATGTTGAAATGCTTCATGCAAACGTTATTGATTTTCTCTCCTTAAAAAGTAACATTGGAATGAAAATTATTTCCATAGAAACTAATGGATTTTTTCTCGTTCTGTCATGTTACAATTGTTTGCTTGGTTGGTGAATAGTTGAACGGTTGTTACCGACGTATGAATGATAAGAATAACATGCAGGTGTTGTTATAAACATTAACTGTGAAGAATGAAAAGAAATGTTCGCTTTTTCACTAAATAGTTGCTCTCTTATTGGCACTAACCAGGAGGCGAATTTTGATCAATTCTCTTCTGTGCTTTGTGCCAATGTATTTCGAAGGAAACATGTAGTTTCCGCTGTA